AAACAATTTACAAACAATGAAAATTTTTACAAACAATGAAAAATAAATAAAAGTAAATTTAAATTTATATATCAACAAATAGAATCAATGACATTTTCTCTTTACTTGAAATATGCCAATAATGTGTGCCAATAAAACTTTCCGCAAAAAAAAAAAAAAAAAAAAAATTATTAATAAATTCAAATTAATATATGCAAATAAATGAATTAATATAAGTAATTAATATCAAATGATATTAACTAACTAATATAAATGCAACATAAGAAAACAAATTTTTTCTTTTTCTTTCGAACAAGAAATGTACAATTGAGAAAAAAAAGCAATTTTAAAACTTAAACCATTCATAACTGAACTGAAATAAAGAATATTCGTCTCGCACAGATACATGTAATACGGCTATTTTGCAATCAAACAAAGGAAATGAAACTAAACCATTTTTCATTTTTTTTCCCTCTAACTTCCTTTATTTTTCAATTCTATCCTTCCCTTCCTCGCCCTCTCTCCCGCTCTCTCTATCCCTCTCTCTCTCTCTAGAATTTCAATAAGAAAAAAGAAAACACCCCTGCGCTTTCTTAGCAAAATCAATGAATGAGCTTCTAAATGCTTGCTTTAAAGAACCCGTAAAATATATAATATACTCATACATACATACATACACACATACATACATACATACATACATACACACATACATACATACACACATACATACATACACACATACATACATACACACATACATACATACATACATACATACATACACATACATACATACATACATACATACATACATACATACATACATACATACATACGCACATACATACATACACACATACATACATACATACATACATACACACATACATACATACACACATACATACATACATGCATATACGCACAAACATACATATATTAAAGTTGAAATTACCTACGATGCACATTAGCTAAGATAAGCAGTAAAAGCTTGTGAATGGTTGCTCCTTTTTTTTTTTTTTTGAAAATTAGAGTCAAATAATTAGTGAAAAATCAAATAAGACAGGGAAGGAAAGAGAATGTATAAAAGTAAGATTGAGATTATCACTTATCACTTGATTTTGTTAATCTATTTATCATGTTTATCAATAACAGTGATAGCTTATAGCTATCATTAAGGCATTTATGAGAAAAAATAGATGAAAAAAAAAAAAAAGAAAAGAAAAGAAATAATATGAAGATAAAATCTAAAATTCCAGCATTATATTAATTTTCTATTTAATAGTATTATATTTGTTTCAAATTATCACAATATCAATTATCATCTATTAATTATTCAATATGACCAGCAATCCAACGCTAACTCTTCGTTAATTTAAATTGATTTTCTGTTCACCTTTGCTTTTACGGTAATAAATATTATAGCAGAATTTTTACTTCACAATTATATTTTAAGATATAAGTTTTTTTGTCATGCAGGTGACATGTTTTTGTCAATTAAATCAATGAAAAATTAAAGAAATATTACATTGAAATGCCAGTTAAATGAAAAATAAACGGTATCCTTAAACAATTTTTACTTATTTTTAAAAGAAAAATGAATTCCATTTACCAATTAATAGACTGAAAAGTAATTTAAACTCTGTAGTTAACACAACTTTTATTTATTTATTAAACAACAAAGATAATAAAAATACGATTTTTAAAATGTTTCTGAAATAATAGAATTAAAACTTGCTAGCTTCATAAAACTATTTTAAATGCATTCAACAATTTTTTTTATTTTACATTGCATCTTCATCAGACATACACGATCTTCTGACATCCTCATAATGCAGTTTGGACGGCTAAATTAAAAAATCTATTATAGTTTTATTTTGAAATCGCAATAAAATAGCAAAAAAAAAAAGAAAAAAAGTAGTAATTACTATTATTGTCATCAATTAAAAAATATTTTAATTTTTACATCAAAACTAATTTTACTTATTAATTTAAATATTGTAAATATTGAAATCTTACAGCTAATATCACTTTTTTAGTATTTCACCAATGAAATTAATTAAAATATGATTTTTTGAAGTTTTGGTATAGTTACAAAATTAAAATCCATTAACGTAAATTTGTTTTGAACTTATTTGACATTCTAAATACAATCAATTTTGTAAAATTAAGGAATGGCTTATAATAATTGTTGTTTGCAATTTAATTTTGATATAAAAATTTATTCACTTTTATATTTATTCATTGACAATTTCATAAATCGTCCAGTTAACATTATCTTTATTTATTTAAACAATGAAATTTTTTTTTAAATATGATTTTCTGAAGTGTTCAAAAAGTCACAGTGTAAAAATTCATTATTTTGAACCTATTTTATACATTCTTTTGCATTACAGCTCAATCAGAAAGAAAGATCTGCCTGCATGCTGGCAAAACAATTTTATAATTAGAACAAAACTATGAGAAAAGTTTGCTTTGCAACAACAATAAAATGATACGCATGTTAGCAACGTAGTTTTGATAGTTTCCATGAAAAAAAAAATTCTATTAAAAATTGAATGGTTTTTCTTTTGCAAATTTTTTTATTTCATTTCATGTAAGTCCAGCAGATATAAAATGCTAGGTTTAACAGAAGGAAAATTTTTTAAGTTACAATTAAATACTAAGAAATGAAAAGGCTTAGAGTATAAAATGAGCTTAATCGCGTTGAAAATTGTGATGGAAATGATTATTTTATTCCTTACATTAATTATAATTTTTAAAAATTTATTACAAATAACTAAATTCTAAAATTTGAAAACTCTATGTTATAAATTTCAGTGTTAACAATGTATATGCAATACTAAATGACCGCCTGTTCAAATATTGCTTATAACTGCATTACTTCCTTCAAATTATAGTTTGTTTGCTAATTTGACAAAAATTTATCAATGCTGTGTTCTCTGCTTGTTGCTATAAATCAAACTTTCACTTTTTAATTTGAATCAAAAGTGATATGAAAGACATTCTCATGAATTGTACAACAATCAAAAAGCTGTAAGATCGCAAATCATATGAAGAGTATTACATTTTACACCAATTTTATTCTTCAAATATCATCATAATTCTACAGGATGGGAAAAATTTCTCGGATCACAATTTTAAGTTTTAACAAAACTGATGAAATTTTGAAAAGTTTAACAATTTCACTTCATTAAATCCTGTCTGCAATATTCAACTATCTTTCGCATTTCCAATTCTTATAGAAGGTTATTAAAACATTACTTAATGGTTAAGTACACACAAATTCATTGTTGAACATTTTTTTGCACAAATTTGAATGAATTAAAGATGATAAATGTAATTTATTGCATTCAAAATATAAAAGTTATTGACTGTTGTTTTAATTGCATATTTTATTAGATGTATGCAATAGTTTTTATATAAAAATACAAATTTATCACAGATTTGGGATAAAAAAATGAATTTATTATTTTATATCGACGATAATAAGTTATTAGATTAGTTTGCAACTGTCTCATTACAACGGATTACTGTATCAGGTTTTTGGAGCATCCAGAACAGTGTCAAAGGAACTGCGACATTAACATTGCTGCCCATGATCTATTACATTAATTATCAGACACGGTAATCTGCTACAGTACTTCGTCATAGTGATACAGGAAAATCCATAAATGCATTTTAGAAAATGCTACCTTAAAATGCTAATCAACTGATAAAATGATAAGCAGTGATATTGTTTAATAATGCTCAAATTTTAATCTGTTCTCAGCGCAAAAGTGAATTTTATTTCCTAATTTATGCAGCAAATGACTTTTAGCTATTTAAACTATTCAGTTGACAAAAATATGAATCTTAAAATGTCAACAAATTAACAAAATTAAAATTCGTTAATATCACCAAATTATGACTCTAGTTCACTTTTTGTTTGACATCACATTGCATTCGATCGCGGGAGAACATGGATAAGTTAACATGGTCAAGTTTTTGAAGATAATCGGTTAGGAAACTTGTCGTACAAATCCACAGAAAGCTATGCTTATTTTCCAAATGGAGTAAATAACAAGAATTTAAAGAAAAAAAAAAAAAAAAACATAAAACTTGCATTTGATGTACAATTATAAAAATGATAAACATATTTCTGACAGTAAATATTCAAAATGTATGAAGAGAATGAGAATTAGATTTCAGTGAATCTGATAAAACAATAAATTATAGTGAATGTATGAAGGAATAGTAAATGAAATTGTAGAAAGCATAAAAACTGGTACAAAACATTGACAAGATTATATTAAGAGATATTAATAAGATGCAAAACAAATGAATTCTTATACATTTCAATCATTTTGTTTCTGAAATGCTTCAAAATTTCATAAAAATCATTAAACTTTGTTCAAAACTGAAACTCTGAAGTTACAACATCACGACGAATAAATAATATTCATAGGATATTCTTCAGAAGAACATGTAAAAGATTGATATATTTGCAAAAATTTGGAGATTCCGATCATACATTCAAAAGAATGTGCAACAAAAATAAGTTTAGAAACTTAGATATAAAAAAGATTTTACACTTCTGAGATTTTAGGAATTATATACTTGAATGAGGAACAATGCTAGTGAAATTGAATAATGAATAAGAATATTATATCATAGAGAAATTAACAAATAATTTCCAAAAAAAAAAGAAAACTTTCATATAGCACCAAAGTAACACACAGAATATTATAAGAGTAAAAGTTTCAAGAGCCAATTAAAACAAAGAATAATACAGATAATATAGGGAGGAAATTTTTAAATCAGACTACAAAAAAAAAAAAAAAAAAAAAAACTGGAAAAGAACATGAGATATTTTGCATTTAAAATGAAATATATGAAATGTGACGATTATGATTATAATTGAAACTTCAGAAACATATATTCCATAACTAACAGATATGGGCGTAAATTTTAAAGGATATATTTTATGCAATAAACTTTTTAATGAATAAGAATATTATATCTTTGGGAAAATTTTCCTAAAAGATTCCCTGCTGAAATTGATCATAACTGTACGATGATCGATATGGCAATTGCATAGGATAAAGACGAAACTGCAAATAAAACTATAATATCAAAAAAAAAAAACTAACTACGATTTATCTCAATTTAATTAAAAAAAAATATCCTTTTCATATTTTAAAAATATGAAAAAACGGACAAGAAAATAGGGCAAATTATATATATATATTAAAAAAAAAAGCTCACAAATTTTTGAGCACCTTCTAATATTGCATGTGCATATCGATCTGGGAGATTTTTAATAAGCTGAAATAGATATGAAAAAAAAAAAAAAAAAAATTTTTTTTCCATATAATTCTGGGTCTTTTTCAAAAAATTCACTCATAAAAATGACTTTGCTGACTGTTATGTGACAAATAGTGGCAATTTAGAATAAATTCAACTACTACTAAAAAATGCGATTTAACTATATCAGAAATAAATTATGAAAAGCTTACAGCTTTAATATGATTCAAATCAATTCGAGCTAATTTTTGATACATAATGTCCATAAGACTTGGTGAAAAAGAAGCATTCATTGCCTCAGTGATCATTTCTACTAAATTCTCATCTCTTGGCCTATAATTCTCCATACGAACTTCGTTTTCAACATAACCTTCAAGTTGACGTCGTAAATCTCGTAATTGCATCAAATTTGAGAAATGAGTAAGCATAGAAAAATTGTTTTCTGAAAAAGAAAGAAAAAAAAGTTAAATTTGTAAAATGCTTCTAAGCAATACGAACAATCATATTATATGATAACATTTTCTCTTCTATTATTCAATTATTGAATAACAAATTTCATGTGATAATACATACCACAAAAAAAAAACATATTTTCAAAAAAAAATTTCTTTTTGCAATCCTTTTACGCTGAACCATAGCCACCGAATAACTCGAATAACATGAAAAAAAAAAATAAAATAAAAATAAAAAATTTATTTCCAAAAAAACTGCCATTCTTTCACGTTGAACAGCAGCTGTTTATCAGATTTGAATATAAAGGAAGAATAACATTTACAAAAAAGTCATACCTGTAACGTTTCTATTGATAACATAATCACTATTTGGACATATGAAACGAAGTAATTCAATAACTTCATCATATGCTTCATCTTCTATCTCAGCTCGACCATTCTGCGCTTCTCTGTAATTAATGAAAACAAAAATTGATCAAATGATGAATTTAAAGTGATTGCAAGATTCAAAATGATAGATGACCTGTAAAAACGTCTATAACAATGAGACATTTTTAAACGATCATCGCTAAATGCTTTAAAGATTAAAAAAAATTACTAAAATTTTTCAATCATTCATTGCATATTTTATATTTTTTGAATTAACTCTGAATTTCACTTGGTTATTTTCTCAGGAAATAATTTTTTCTCAAAAATCATTTTCCACTAATTTCAACTTTCTACTAACTAACATTATCGTTAGAGCACATCAATATGCAACAATTATAACAAAATAATGAGTAACTTACCGAAATGTATCATCAAAGCATAACACTTTAAAGTAAGGTGATAATTCTGCTAGATAATGAGCATTTACAAAAATACTTTTCTTCTCCACCACTAATTCAAATTGTCGCAATTGTGTTCGCTGAGAGAATGTTTCATCGAGCATTTGCAATCCTTAAATAATCTATCATTTCTTATTTGTAATTTCATCAGATTTTCTCTTTTTTAAAATAATCTTAATAAATCTTACATTTTTTCATTCATTCCTAAAAAAAAAAAAGAAAGAGACCATTTTATCGTTCTTTTCTCAAATTCATCCCTCTCTCTCTCTCTCTCTCTCTCTCTCGCTATAACTATGATTACACAATTCCTTTTTTCTTTTTTTCATATATATATATATATATATATATACTTAGAAAAAAATTCACATTGCACTAACTCTTTCTTTCTCTCTTTTGCACTCTCTCTCTCTCTCCTTTTTTCAACAAATTTAAGCAAAATAAATGAAACTAACTTCTTATTTCATTCTCTCTTCCTCCTCCTATATCATCAATCAAACTTTCATCATTGCTTCTTTTAATTCTAAGATAATCAATAACAAATTTTAAATGATTCAAAAGTTTATTATACTTAGAAAAAAAAAAAAAAAAATCACTATGAGAAAGTGTTACACACAAAACCAACAAAACCAATTTCACCTAAAAGAAGACTGAATGAGAGAGAGAGAGAGAGAGAGAGGGAGAGAAAGAGAGAGAAGTGATTGTAACGATATGGAGCATACTGTTTGTTAATTTTACTAATTGAACCAGGCAATTTCATTGCTGATCATTTATCTATTTTTTAATATAAGCATTTTAATTAATCATCTTTATTCATTTCCTCTAATTATTACGCAAAATATTATTCCAAGCATTGATGTATGTTACATGTGCGTTACAATTTATCTTTGAAATTTTAACTAATATATTTGTTTTTTTTTTTTTTTTTAATTCTGTTATAATTAAACTTTATGCAAATTAAATTTTTATCAATTTGTAGTTTTAGTAATATATTATTGAACTGTTTTATAATGTATAATTGATTTGTCATTCCATATCATTCTTCAAAGTTTATTGCTTTTTGTTTTCATGTAACAAACCATGTTTCTTTAAATGGCTAATTAAATTAGCTTTTTTTTTTTCTTTAAAGTTTATTGTTTTCGCACTTATATGGCAAATATTTGCTTAGATGATTAACTGAATAAATAGGATTTTCTTTTTTTTTTCGAGCTTAATACAATAAATTTAAATATCATTTCAGCTATATATGATCAATAGTTGATAGTTGGCATAATGTTATAAATTAGCAATTTAAATTCATTTCGTTTATGTAAAACTTTTAATTACATTACAAAATTTATTTTTTTTAAAATGCACACAATAATTTAGTTCGTTTTATTAAATCTAAAATTGTTGTTGTCGTTTTTTTAAAGAAAGGAAAAGAACCTTTGAAGGGATTTTTTTTTGATTAATTAAAAATCAGTTTTCTTTTTCAAAATTCGTATTTCTTTTATTCGTTCTAACTAAATTTACAAGCTTAATTTGTCATAGTTTATTAGATCTTTTTTTTAATTTAAGCTGAAATATAATTAATCATTTTAAAATTTAATTGATGATTTGGGAAATTAATTATTGATTTGCGAAGAATTTAAAGCAAAAAGCATTAAGATACAAGATAATCTAGCAATTAATCTTATCCCTATCAAATTTTTGGTTTATTTAGTAATTGAAATAAAATTATTAAACATAGAAATATAAATAGCTAGAATCTATATCCTATTAGTATTTTAATAGAAATTGTGTATAGTTCTATTTAAAAAAAAAAATTGAAAAATAATTGAATAATGTTGCTTTATTCAGAAATAAATATGCTTTCTTTTTTTGAATAAATTATTTGAAAAATATACCAAAAATACTATATAAACAGTGTATTTCTTGTAATTCTTTAAATTATATTTTAGAAACAAAAATGAAAAATGACAGTAGAGCAATTTTAATTTCGGCAAATTAAAATTAAAATTTTGTTTATTTTTTTCTTTTACTCATAATTATTTCATTGCATCTATTATCACTTTTAGTAGTATTTTTAGTTTTATCAAATAGTTATACACTGTTACTTATATGTTATCATTTTAATGAATTAAATTTCAATCAATTTTAAAAAATACCGTCAACTCTGATAGTTGACGAATCCATAGCTGCTTGAAATGCATGATGTTGAACTGAAGGTAATGAAATAATTTGCATATTCTGTTTTATCTCCGGAATGTATGTGGCATAATTTAGAAGTGCTAATTTTGCCGTTGGTCCAAAACTAGCACGTCGCGCTGTTCGTGCTAACCAATTTGTGCTAACAACAAACAAAAAAATGTATTAATTACTTAATACAATTATATTATAATTTATGCTTTTATTATTTGAATTAATTAGCATAATAATAATTTTTTTTATAAAATGGAATTTGAGAGTGTTTTAATAAATAAAATAACTTAAGTTAGCTTACTCATTTATTTCATTTTAATGCTTTCTGTTTAGTTTGTTTTATAAAACTTGTAAGTTTTTTATTTTTTATTTTTTGTTGTTTTAGATGAATGTTTTAATTTTTGACTTTTTGTTATAAATTAATTAATTGATAATTTAATCTATTAATTGATAATTTAATCTATTAATTGACAATTTATATATTTCACAATATAATTAGTTGATAATTTAATTTTTGTTAATGACTTGAATTTATGAAGCTAAAATAAATTTTACACAATGTTACTTTTTATTGTAAAAAGGAAAACTGTTAAATATAAATATATTTCTTAAAGGTCACAAACTTGCTGGCAATTTCTTCCGTAATATTCTTGAAACGTTTCACATGCGATGAAATCAATATTAATAATAAAATTGAAATACAATTCAAAATGTTTGGTACAACTAGCAAAATTATTGTCCATAAAGCAATTGTATTAGACGTATGCAAGCATGTCACCTAAATCATTAGTGTCACCAAATATGTTCCTTAGTAATAATTTCTTTGAATTAATATAAGTATAGTTATGAGTATATATAAGTAAAATGAATATATGAGTATGGTTAAGTGTTAATAGTATTACTGAGCAAAAGTAAAAATAAATCTCATTTTTCGTCGGCAAATTATAATTAATCTTCAGTAACAATCATAATAATTGAAATTTTTTTGAGGCTGTCACCAAAGATGTCACCAGATAAATTCTTTGACAAGAGTTCCCTTTTTTTTTTTCGAAAACAACCTTATTTCTTCTTGCAGAATAGAAAATCATTTTTTTTTTTAAAACTTGATGATTTTTTTTAAAGAAAAGCTGAAAAATAAAAATTTCATCGATTAGTGAAAAGTTCAATGAATGACAAAATATTGAAGAATTTGTTGTGTTAATTAGACATTACCGCAAAAGAGTATACTAATTAATTGTTTTCTTAATGTTAGCTGAAAACTTTACACTTTTTTTGCTTGTTCTATTAATTTGCTAATGACACTCTTTAGTAATAGTGCAGTACTCTGATTGAAATCTAAAAAATTGTGACAGTAATTAATTATTAGTAGTGACCGTTCCTTTTTTTTTCTAAAATGTAAATTTTATTTGACGAAGGATTACTATTGAGTTCTCGTTTTTCTTTAATTCAGTTAATAAATGGTTTGTTATGATTAAAATGATTATTTATGTTTTATCAATTGTTTTTTTACTTTCTCAATTTTCTTCGTAAATCCAGCAATTATGTAAGGAACAATATTTTTGAAAATGAAATTGCATGAAAAGTAAAATAACTCTCAGTTAATTTGTATATAAAAAATTTTTCATTTTCAAAAGTTTTCATTTATAATTAGAAGAATTTGCTATTCATTAGCTAATTTTTTAATGCAAAAAAAAAAATGTTATTATTGTGATTAAATTATTACTATCATAATTAAATGGAATTTATAATAATTAATATATTGTAATAATAATTGTTATATGGTTTTTCCTAAATTTATTGAAAGAAAGATGGAAAAAGCTTTATGATTTTTTGGAATTTTTGAAATTATTTTTTTTAAATTTAAAATTTAAAATTTAAGTATACGATAGCATAGCAGTAAATATATTTTCAAAATTATATTATTAATAAAAGCAGGAAATTTTGCAACAAATTTGAAAATGTTCAATTTAGTTCTTCACGAAGCTATAAATGTTTAAACTGTCACAAATTTGTAACAGTCTATAATTATTAGATGAGGCTTTCTTCATTTAATTAATATTAGCTTTTGCTTTATCATTGATATTCGTTGCTATATGCTTTAAAAAAATTTTTATTAATTAGTAATGACTTTCTCTATTTTAAATAGCTTTTAATAAGAATAATAATTAGATAGTCTTTAATAATTACATAGAATCGATAATAATTAAATCTAATAATGTAAAATTAAATGATAAATGATGAAGAAAGCTGGCACGATACCATTAATTTTTTTTTTTTTTGAAATCTGAATTTACGTTTAAAAATTTGCCCACTAAAGTCAACTTAATGGTGGTATGACATTAATTCCACATCTAAATAACGTCATGTCCTTGTCATTCATTTGATGGTGTATGAGGCTAATTTCACGTTCAAATAACGTCACATATGTTAAACACTGACAGTAGCGTAACGTTAATTTCACGTTTAAATATAACGTCATATACAGATTTCAAAAAGACAAGTGCCATATTAGTCATAAAATAATTACATAAAATAATTAAAATAATTGCTTTCATTCATAGCGAGCTTCATCTCATGCATAAAAATTTAATATTTAATGGATTATTTCAAAAAATTACCTACCCATGCAATATTCTATTCTATTAATTCATTTTTTGAATATTTGAAATTAAAGTGTTGTCATTTTTCAAATCATTGAAATTAAGATGTAAACAAATCAACTAAAATCATATTATATCATTAAAATGAAAGGAAACACTGATTAAAATATTAATAGCTTACATTATTATTTGTCATATTAATCGACTGTAAAATTAATATAACACAAATAATCACAACCAACCGAAAACGATTACTCACATAATAATCAATGATTTTATACTACTAAAAATAATGAACCAAATAAAAAATTTGTTTACTAAATTTAATTAAATTATTATTTAAATGAATGAATAAATGTTAAGTATGATATGATTTGAAATTTTTATTATAATGCCCTTTTTTTATAATATCTAAGTTAGTATTACATTAAATTGTTAAATTTATTTGAAATATTTGGGAGAGAATTATGTTACACAATAATAAAATGTTAATCATTTCTTACAAATTATTTTTGTAGGAAATGCTAGTTTAGCCGCAATTTAAATTTAAATGCAGTTCAACTTTTCACTCTTTCATAAAATTAAACAAATGAAATAATGTATAAAATTGAATGACACGTATTTCATAGTATTTATTGGTTATTAAGTGATTATATAAATTTTGTTGATAATATTAAATTAAATTATTGTATTAAAATGGATGAATAGGAATAAATTAAGATAGAGTTCTCATATTTCTATTCTTATTATTTTTAAAATAATTAAGTTTATGTTTAAAATATTTTCTGTTGTTATGGTTATCAATCAAACACAAAGTATTAGCAATTATTTTAGCAGAAAATAATGTTCCTAAATAAATATATCTCAGCTAATAATAAATGATATTACTTGAGATGATTGAATTTATTAAGAAAGGAAAAGAGGAAAGAAAGGAAATTTCTAAGTTGAGAAAAAAGTAAAAAAAAAAACCCAAAACAACTTAATTTTGTCGTATTTTTATTGTAAAACGAACTTTTAACAGCTGTTGAAAGCATTTTTTTTTCTCGTTTACTTCGATTGATTTATTGAATTATTGCTTGTAAATTCAATTTATCTAATCATTCTTTTTCAAAATATTTTTCAATTTAAATGTTAGATGTTAAAAAAAAATGATTTTTGCACGCAGCATAATTAATAAAACTTAATGAATGAAATGAAAAAATTATTGAAATATTCAGAATAAAAATTTCAAAATAATGCTATTCACTTTGTTTTCACTTGCTAAATTGGATAATTTGCAAAATTTTTGAAATCTAATAAAATTACAATCTATCTGCTTCAGATTAATTTTTAATACCAATTTGTTCTAAACATTTCTTAAGATGAATGATTTTTTACTTCATTTTGTGGAAAGCAGTTTTCATTTTTTATCTCATTTCTTTTTATCTCTTTATACGTGTGTGCGCTTAAAATTAGTAAATTAATAGACGTATTTTCATGCATCCGCATACGTAAAAGTTAGAAAATTAATAGACGTGTGTTGTATGCGTGTGTATGCGTAAAAATTGGCGAATTAATAGACATGTTTTTATGCGTGTTTATGAGCACGACATATACAAATCATTCAATTTGTTACATTCCATTTATTTGAATCTTGTTTGTCATTCATTTATCACCTGAAATGTTTTTCGTTTTTTCTTTTTTTCTTCACGAAATGGTTTGATAAACTTTAAAATAAATATTTTGCCGAAAATTTGTTTGCAAGTCAATATTTAGACATTTTGTATGTCTTTCTTAAACTTGATATTTGATTAATTTTTTTTTTAAATGTAATACTTAACCGGTTTTTTCGTTGTAAATTTTCTTACGCATAGCATTACGAAGTTTTTTAGATCGTTTTGAATTATTCTTTCCTAACTTATGACATTTGCAATGACGTAGTATATTTTTGTCTGATTTTTCGTTTATCTATAAATTAATCAAAATGTAGCAAAAGTATCACTTAAAAAAATTTACAGTTTTACTAAATAGATAATTAGAATGCTACGAAAAAAATTAATTCTAAATTTAAAGAAGGTAAATTATTTCATTAAACAAATTAGTAAACTGAAAATTAGAAAATTCCTAAATTTATTATTGAAAATTTAAGAAATCATTTAAAAAGTGATACTACAAATAATTATGATTTAGCAAAAAAAAGAAAATTGAATTAAAACAATGAAATTAAAATTAGGTAATACCTAACAAATTAATTTAGGAAGAATTATGCAAATTTATTGCACCTTAGATTTTTCAGATTTCGATGATTTTTCAGATTCTGATGCTAATGTTGATCCAATAGATTTCGATGATTCATCATTTTTGTTGATCAGTTTTGCATTCCGTTTTTCATCCTTTTCTTTTGGATAATTTTGCTTTTCAAAATTTCCTCTTTTCTTTAACTGTTCACTGTTTTCCTTCCGTTTATCTGTATTTTGCAATTTGTATAGATCATCATTTGAAACAAAATTAAAGTAATATCATAATTAAGGTAATGAAGTGAAATTAAAATGATGATATCATAAAAATAAAGTATAATTTTTATTAATTAAAAAAACTAGTTAATATAAAATAGATTTAATATGAAACTTTTTTTAAAGGAAATCGAAGATAATTTATGAAGAAGATTTTGAAACTTCAATATGAACATTTTTTTGATACATTTGAATTATTTTAATGAATCAAAGAAATCTTGCTATTTGATTTTTTATAATTTCAATTCAAATACTCACATCCAATCCTTATCAGTTGAGAAGATGACATATGCTATCTTATGCGTGATTTATTTATCTTCTATTATTTTAGGATACCTATTTATAGAAATATGTGCTATGTTTGACTAATTAATTGGAATTACTGACAAGAAAAAACTGATCGATTATCTCTTATCCATCATTTAAATTTTCAATTAATTCTTTTCTCTTTTGCATTTTTAAATGATAAAAAAATTTGGCACTGTAAGAAAAAAAATTGTTCAAAGATATGTTTTTAGAAATCAAAAAAAATTTTTTATTTTTTATCAGTTTTTACAAAATATTATACGTCATTGTGAATTCTAACTCAAACGTATATAAGCGTAATCGTAAAATCATCAAATATGACGCATGTGACAAAAGCATATGTGATAAAAGAAGATATCTAAATTCAATAAAAAGCTAGGTAAATTTATGTCCTACAAGAAAAAAGTAATAATATGAAAAATTGACGAAAACATACATTTCTTAACTGATAATTTTCCTGATCTGAAAAGATCATAAATTTTAGTTTCAAATGCTAAAGTGATAGTATTTTATGAATTAAGAATTAAATTTTATTTTAAATGAGAAGAATAATGTTTAAATTGGCATGAAAAAAAATCAACATTTTTAAAGTTAACTTTAAGGACTTTTTCAGAATTTTTTGCATGAAATGGAGGAATTACTGGTTTCATGCAAATGAAACAAATTTATTTACCATTCAAATTTTTATTTCTAATTATTTTAATAAAATATTTTGATTTTGAATTTGATAAAATTCTATGTATATTGTTTAACTAACAATGGAAGTTTATGAAGATCAATCGTTGTATCATTGGATGGTTTGGGTATACCACAGCGTACCAATCCCTTATCAATATGTCCTTTGATAGTACAACAACGACGACAAAATGTGCTTGTTAATGTGGTCATAATAAATGGAATCATCTGCAGTGGATGATTAATGATAAAAGCTATTAAGATTGTTATCATTTGAACACAACTACTTTTTCATCCCTTTCCTGTTATTTATGATAAGGTATCAAGGAATATCTCTGTGCTTTTAATACTTTAAATTACACTTTCGTGTGCATCAAATGAGATAACAGTCTTAACCGATTTTTGATAATAATGTGTAAAGACTGTTTATTGTTCATTTTTCTCATATTTAATTTTGTTTATGTAGAAGTAATAAAAATGTTATCGCTATTTAGCAAATCAAATAATGAAGTATAAACACTCCAAAGATCATCGCTACATCATACCTCCAAGTCAACGTTAAAGTTCAAATTACAGAAACGAAAAAAAAAAAATAAATTAATTCAAAATGAAAACAAAATTTGTACTTTTTCTCCATTTGGTAAAGTTTTCAAACGTTCTTGGATGGAATTATGATCACCGTCGCTCAAAAATGCCGAACGGATACGTGAAAAAATTAAAGCACTATTAATGAGAGGTTTTTCCTGTTGCCAAATCCATATAATTGCAGCATCCACCGCATTAATCTCTTTTTCGACGTTTAAATCGCATCTGTCATAAAATAATTTTTTATTTAACGATAATTTAGCAGAACAACAAAAACAGTAAAAAAAAATAACAAAAACAGCAGCAATGAAAACAATGACAAAAATAACAACAATAGTGACGATTATAATAAGGGAAAAATAGTAATAGTAACAATAACAACAACCAACAAAAATAAAAACAACAACAATAACAACTATAATAACAACAATGAGAAAAACAATAATAACAAAAGTAACAATAATAGCAACAATGATAAGAGTAACAACAAAAACAACAAAAAATTTTTGAAAGAGGTCTGATTAAATTTGTAAAATAATTCAAAAATATTTAGGCGATTAGGCGATTGAAGAATATGCAAATGAGGCCTGAGAGAACTAAAATATAAATTCACTTTTATTTTTTGTTATTTTGAAAACCAAAAAATAAATACTTCTTTTAATTTTTGCCCCGTTGTTTTGATACATTAGAAAAGTTATGAAATTGTGAGTGTCACCTTATTGTATAAACTTGCGCACAATGAATTATTAGTAAGTTAATGCTTTTGAATTTATCAAATTTATTATTTGTCATAAAATATATAATTTGTCACATGTCACTTGTCAACATATTTCATTCATACATATTGTATTTAAGTTTAAAAATTTTTCCACCAAATTTACTGTTTATTAAAAAAATTAGCATATTTTAAAAAAATTAATTTTACCGTGCGATAATATTTGCGAAAATAATTGGTGGTATATGGCCAAAAAGTCTATGTTGCACAATATCATGAAATTTTGCTGCTGCAATTTTTTCAATTTTTTGACGAACATTTAAACCACCATAAATTGAGCGTTCGCTTCCTACGATAATTAGTGCTTGGAGAAGTGAATCTGTTTTCTGTGATGCCATTTTGACAAGAATCTGAAAATGATAAATTAAAAAATAAATGAATAAAATTGCAAATTTAATACAAACTAATCAATTCATTATTACAGTTTAGAATTATAAAGGAAAGAAAAAAGTTTAATCAATGATGATTTTCATGAAATATCAACAATTTAATTTTCATTAACAATATTTTCATTTTATTTTTCCCTTTATATATATATTTTTGTAAATTAATAATAAGATAATTTTTTCTTTGAAATCATTCAAAAATTTAATTTTAAAAATTCACTTTTAATTTTCTCATTTTCAATTGAAAATTTTGCAACAATAGTTAAATGAAATATTAACAATTTTTTTTTCGTTTTATTGATAAATCATTTCAATTTTTAAGAATTGAGGAACGTGTATAATTCAAAATGCTTGATACATTTCCATGCCAAACAGTTATTAATTTTCACATTATCAAAATATTTTAAGTTAAATTTATTTTTCTTTTCTTTTTTTTGTGATTTCCAAAGCAAAAATCCAAAAATGCTAATCACAAATGTGAAAAAGGAAAAAAAAACAATGTAACAAAGATAAATGGAATTTTTTTCTTCAAAAAGAACTTATCAACTTTTCCTTATCATAATAAAAATTATTTCACTCAAAGATAATTGCTAATAAATAGTTTATTGCATATAAATGTATCACCTTTTTGTTTACTGTGAAATCAATAAAATGATACTTAATGTAAATCAGTAATCAAATGATTGTGTTAATATTAACTTCATTGCTGATATCTCCTTATCTATGAAAATTTAGGTTTTTAATAATAAATAGCTAAAGTGTAATTTAATATTTCTTTCATTTGTCTATAAATTTTAAAATAATTTATTGACGGTTCTTTTGCAACATTCCATTGCTACAATTTCAATATATAGCGAAATGAAAAATATATTTCGAATTATTATATGATAGAGAGATTTAACTGCTAAGTTTAAATTACAACAAAAAAAATGAAAAGTAGTGAAATATATTTTAAAAGCCAGTATAAGAAAATTGATGAAAAATAAGATATTTATTAAAAAAATAATGAAATATATTCAAAAAATTTTAAAAAATTTCAAAAATCATACATTTTCGAGTTGTTTGAGTAAGCCAAGCATAAGTAATGATCGTGATAAATCGATTAGATCAGCTAATGCATAAAATGATAATGTGATATTTTTTTGATTCTCATTCTGGATGTATCCTACCAATGCTCTTACAGAGTTTTTATCATATGCTGATAAATTGATATATTTTGGTAAGCGACCAGTTTTCAATAGCTTAAATTTTGAAGAAATTTAAGATTTAATTTAATTTAAACACACAAATATTTGAATGTTTCCGAAACGAGAAATAGATTTATAAATGCTTATTATTATTATTAATGCTATTATCATTGTTTTTATTGTAGTAAATGTCAACTTTTCAATTTAATTTAACCACCATTAAATGCTTTTTAAATTATTTGTCTTTGATTTTCACAAATGAATTTTTCGAGAAAATGTAAAAGTAAGTTATATGCTTACTTGTATAAAATAAGCAATAAAATTTGAATAAAAAACTGGTAGTTATATATTTTATTCCATATGGACTAATTAAAATACTAACGAAATAAAACTTTATATAAGTTTAGAATAAAAATAAATATTTTTAACTGTTATTTTTCTCTGAAAAATTATAAAACTTTTGTTTATTTTACAAAAAAAAGAAAGAGAAAGAGAAAATTGAAGAAAGTTCATAAAAAAAAAAAAAAAAAATATTATGCAAACAGCAACTTTTTTGTTTTTTGGTTTTTTAACAATTCTAAAATGTAATTTAATGTTAGATGAAATGAAATTTCGGCAATATTTGTAATACTTATTAGCTTTTCAAACATTTCTTCTTTCTTTTTTTTGCATTTTTGAAACATTCTTCTAAAGAATGAGAGAAATGAGAAAAGTGAATAAAATGAAAGAACGAAAAAAAATTTAGCTCATTTTTTCATTTTTTTTTTTTTTTGCTCTTAGAAAAATGAATAAAAATACACTGACCTTTCGAATTTTCAACGAACAAATTGTAAATTGTTGCAGTTTAACGCGATACTTTTCTTCTGATGCTATCAATTTTATCTTTTTGTCAGTACTTTCATTACGTTTTGAGCTACTGCTATAAACACTTGATAATTTAACAATTTGACTATTGCTAATACAACTTTTTTTTTAATTTCAATTTAATAACTAAGGGATAATAATTCCAAGAACATTTTATTTATTTAATAAGTTATATATATATGGACGTAGGAATAATAGTACTATAAATTAAAATTTATGTATTATTGTATTTAATAAGTTTAATATATAAATATGAATATTATTTTAATTTTAATACTCTTTCAATACTTCTTACATTACTTAATGATAGCATTTACTTTGAGCTTTTCTTTCTCTCTCTTTTGCTCTCTTTTTCAGCATAACAAATTTTGCAGTGATTTTTTTTTTTTTTTTTGACTAGGAAGAATTCTGTAGTGAAGCAACTTCAAACATCCATGATAAAGGGAATTAGGAAAGCCAAGGCTAACACTTTTTTGAAATTAAACTTTTCATTCTTTTTTTTAAAAAATATATATTTTTATCTAATTTTTCACCTTGGATTAAAATTAATTTTACAAATGTTAAAAGTTTTCCGATATGCTTTTATGCTTATTTAATTTAATTAAAAAAAATCGCGCCAATTTAATCTTAACCAACATCAACAATTCAATTTTATTTTTTTTAATTAACAAAATTTTTATGACAGTATGAAGAGATTAGAAGTGAGCGATTAATTTTATTAAATATATAAATTGTAATCAAATGTGATAGAAATTTTTACAGCATTTTTTCTTTGTAAACTTGTAAAATTCTTAAAATCATTTAAAATAAGAAAACTGAACTAAATTTAACCCATAAAATTATATAAATTTGCTCAACAAGTAGCAATTTTTTTAACAATTTGTTTTTAAGTATTTACAAAGAAAAAAAGAAAACTCATTTTTAACGGAAGGAAAAAGCAAGAAATTATTCCATTCATAACCTACATTATTTTTGCTCAAATTTTTTGCCATAAAAAAAGTGTTATCAAACAATTAGTTCAATGAAAAAGAAAAAAAAAAGAAGTATCAAAAAAAATAAAAATAAAAAAAACAAAAATATTTAAAAAATTTATCATAAACTTTGCTCATTATTTTTTCTTTTCTCTTCTTCTTCTTCTCCTTCTCTTTTCTTTTTCAAAAAAATAATTTAGCAAAATAAGTACCCTTTAAAAAAAAGCAAAAATGAAATAAAAAAAAAATTAAGGAGAGAGAAGACATTTTAGGAAACAAAAGAAAAAATCTCATACAGGAAAAGTTCAAATTTTCTGCTATTTTAGGTCAAAAAAAAAAAAATATATGAAAAATAAAATAAATAAATAAGTGATAGAGCAAAATTTTTAATGCTTCTTCATAAAGAAAAAAAAAAGAATCATTTTTTAGAACAAAAAGAAAAAAAAAAAGAAATTTCGTTTTTTATACTTTTAATTATACTAACACAACAAATATATTTAAGCAATAGTAATAAAAAATTTTAGGAAAAATACTCTTTCTCATTCCTTTCAGAAAAACGAAAAAAAAAAGGAAAAATAAAAATAATTTAGAAAAAATTAAAAAAATTTGGTCCTTTTTTCATTTTTTTATAATAAATAGTTTTATTTTTACAACAAAGTTCTCTTCTACTATTCTTTCTTTTACTCTTTTTAAATATATTCCTTCTTTTTTTTTTTACATTTCTGTTGAACTTTTAATACTATGCATTTTCTTTTCCTCTTTTTTTATTTTTTTACTATTCATATACAAAAGTTTTTTATTTCCTTCTTTTTCCTTTTTTCTTTTTTTGTTTTCGTTCATTTTTGATTCGTTGAAAAGCAATTTAAAATCGAATTGATAAAAAAATTTTGAAAAATTTTCCGTAATATAAGTAAAATGAAAAATATTTATGCTAGGAAAAAAAAAAGGAAAACCAAAAAAAAAGGAAAAAAAGCCAAGAAATCTATCAATAAGGGATTTTTACTTTTTCTGGGCAAAAAAGATAACACTTTTTTTTAAAAAAATCCTTGTGACAAAGCTATTTAAACTTTTTCAATCTTTTTTTCATTTTTTCATTTTTTTTTTTTTTTTTTGGATGAATTGAGTGAATAAAGCAATCAGTCATCTTATCGTAAAAGCCTTATGCTTTTATTTATTTTCAGTTTGTTAAAAAAAAAAAACTTCCTTCTTTCTTTTTTTGTTTAAATTATTGTATTTTAAGCCAAAGGTTAGTGCTCCCATACAATGAACTTGCACAAACAACCATTTTCAACAAACATTCGTTATGTTTTATTAATCATTTCAAATTAAAATTTCATCATTGATTTCTAAATTTTAGAGTGTAATTTTCCTATAGGTAAACACTGTAGAATACTCAAATGCATTTAAAGTGTACAGAATGAAAAAAAAAAAAAAAAAGATTTCCGCTTGTATTGATAAAACTGAAGAGAAAAGGAGAGAGAAAGAGAAAGAAAAAGATGGAGGAAAAAAAAGAAAAATTATTTGAAAGAAAATTTAACACACGGAATTTAATTTATTGGGAATTTTTTTTCCGGAATTTCTTCTTAGATTTATTTTTTTTAAAATCATTAGTTATGACAAGAAAGAAAAAAAAAATCATCAAACAAAAACCAATCAGTTATTTTTGATTTTTTTTTCTTTTTTTTGTTTTTGTTTAAATCAACAACTTAGCATCAAAATATTGTTTTGTAATTTTATCATTCTTTTTTCTTAAACAAAAATATTGTAAGATTTGACATAGCTAATATTCATTAATTTAATTTCAATTTAATAAATTTCAGTTAAAAGTTAAAATGATGTTCGTATTATCCTACTAAAAAAAAAAAGAATTTTGGCCACAAACCCTGTCAATTGAAAGTTTTCATCTCATTCATAACATTTAATTTTTGAAAGTTGACTTTCTTCAATTTTATTTAATTCTAATACAGAAATGAAAAAAAAAAAAGAATGAAACAAAATTGAAATTTATTTATAAGACTACTTTTCTCTTATCGACGAACTCATCGTCATGATTGAATGAAACAACCGCACACTATTAGCTTTTACAAAATAAACAAAATGAAATATATAGAAATCAAATAATTTCTTTTTAAAAGAAAAAAACTCATTCATTTCAACAATTGAAAAAGATAATTTGAATAAAAAAATATAATTTCAATGATAAATTGAAAAATTGTATGTGATTTTATGAGAACTAATTTTTTTTTCATTCATATTTTTATACATCTGTTGGTTTTTTTCTTCATTTTCTCTTCCTGGCCACAGTAAAAAAGGAAAAAGAATCAGAATGTATTGTACAAATAGCCTTGCTAGCCTTAATAATATAAGAATTTGTTGTTCTCAAATCTTCATAAAATTACTGTTAAAATTACTAAATAATATACAACTGATTAATAATTTATAGGTAATTAAAATTCTTAGCTAAAACATAATTTATAGTTAATGTAGAACTAATTAAAATCGTTGATTATTAAAATTAAATAATCAAAAATTAGTATTAAAATTATTAATTGTTAAGATTATTAACTAATTTACAATTTTGTTAATTTATATGCGATTAAAATTACTACTTATTAGATTTTTTTAAGTCATTTAAAAAAATATTAAAATTATTAAGTAATTTATAATTTATAGTTAATTTATAAGTAATTAAAAACACTAATTATTGAAATTACTAACTCATTTACCATTCATAGTTAATTTTTTAATTATAATTAGTCATTTATATTGAACCATTAAAAGTGAAATATTTCGTTTTTTTGTAAATGATGGAAGGAATAATTTCAACTAAAATTATTATTTATCATTTAGCATAAATTAAAATTATATTTTGTGTGACGCAGACATATGAATGAAAATTTGACGTAGATAAGATGAATTGATAAAATTTAATTTAAGCATAGCAAAAATAAAAAGAATTACGTCACTGTCAATTCACACCCCAAAATTCTTACATAACCTACGCAATGAATGTAAATACTTATTCTTCTATACCTCTATCTCCTTCCCTCTCTCTCTCTCTCTGTCTCCTTTCTCTTCTCTTATTTTTTTAACTCTTTCAATTTTATTCCAAACTATTTCAGCTAATACTTTCTCTCATTTATTTATTTATCTATCTATTCATCTGTCTATCTATCAATCTAACAAATGTATATGTCTGCGTGCGTGCATATGCGTGTGCGTTTGCGTGTGCATCTGCGTGTGCATCTGCGTGAATGGTAATTCTCACTGATAAGTTTACCTTTTTCTTCAATTTTTTTTCTATTCTTATTCCTAGAATTTATCATTCGTTTATTTTTTATTACATTATTTTTCATTGGCTTATTTTTATTAACGATATCAGTAGTATAACAGTTCGTTTATTTCTTTTTTTTTTTCTTCATTTTTTCTTTTATCTCTTTTTCTACAATGTTATTTTGCTTTTTTTTTTTTGATTTTATTGCACACCTTAAATTAAACTTAACTAGGCTTATTTGATTGATAGCTTATTGCGGATTACGCCCACCTAATAATCGTAATTGCACTTACTTAACAGTTTAGTTTAACGTAATTATGTCAATCTAATATGTGATATTATGATTACACCCACCTATAATAGCTTAGCTTAATTGTGCTTACTTAACAGTTTAATTTAACATAATTAAGTTAATCTTATATTGTGTTTATTCCCATTTAAGGGCTTATTGTGACACTATTTATTAGTAGAAGAAGTGTTAGTAATAATCATTTCTTAGTTACTGGATTTGAGTTAAACCTATGTCAGATATGATCATATTATATTTAACAGATTTGTCTAGTTAAATCTTAATTTTATGTTAATTTTATGAGAAAGGCAGAAATTCAGTTACAAAATTTTTCTTTTACTTATTTTAATGTAGCTAAATGAACTTTTTTTTCATTAATTTATTGAATATACTTGAATACTTTTTGACTTTTATTAAACTAAATCAGGCTTATATCATTTGTCATTTGCATGTTTCTTTTTTCTTTTACAATCTTTTACTGCTTCCTGTTTTCTGATGACGATGTTATCTTCCGCTACTTTGTCGTTCTATTCACAATATCTCAATAATTTTATTTTCAGATTCCTCGTTTTTCAGTATTATTTTGAGATTTCTTTGTTATTACTTCTCCCTTTACGAATGTAGCAATCACTAATGCAAACTGGATCGATAATCTCAAAGAGGTAAATAGAATTTAAAACTAAGGTTTGACTGGAATTCATTGAAATTCTTATGTATTAAAAAAGTGAAAAAAAGGCCTTGAAAAATCTACTCAAAGATATCAGATTATTTTAAAATATGAGATAAAAATTTGGAAGCCATAAAAATCTTTTTGTGGCTTCCAATTTTTAGCTTTCGGTTGCTAACATTACGCTGGTTTGAATATCATAAACGTATTGCAGTTGAAATAATTGTAAAAAATTTGCAGCTATCATTATGGAAAATCAACAGCAGTCCTATACGACAGCAACAGTAGAAGGTCCTTCAACAGCACCGTTCGGAATAGCATCAGATGCAATCGACGAAGAACGATTAGCTGTCCTTCAACAGGTATCTGTTTTTGTTTGTTAAGGTAAGCTCTAGTTAATAGGACAATTTTCTTTTAGAACCCTCTGTCTTACTCTGTGTCATTAAATTAGAAAGTAAAATTCGATCATATTAATTGTTCAAATTAAAGTATTTAATATATTAGTGATTATTCTTTGTTTTAGAGGAATAACTTATACATCTATAATATTATTACTTTATCATTTAACACAGATAACATTTTGAAAAAGATGAGTTCCTCTTATTTTCATGTCATATTTTTTGCGTAATTCGATCATATTAATTGTTCGAATTAAAGCAATGAGTTAAACTTAATATATTAGTAATTATTCTATGTTTTAACGAATAACTTGTACATCTATAATATTATTAATCATTTATAATAGATAACGTTTGTAGAGCTCCTATTCTTTTCATGTTATACTCTTTGCTTAGTTATAAGTAAGAAAAATAAATATTTTTTTTTTTGTATAATAATTATTTCAATTTGAAATTCATTACTACCAAAGTTATCAGCTTTCTGTGCTATTTGCAAACTTACCAATAAATTTATTATTTGCAGATTTATCAACAAAAGCAAGTAGAACTCTTGTCACAATATCAGCAAGCACAAACAAACCTTGCCATGCAACACTTTACTTACTTTCAAGCTCTTCAAACATCCCAACAACAAAAGCAGCAGCAACAACAACAACAGCATCAGAAGCAATCTTTGCATGACACCAAAACTTCAGAACAAACAAGTTCCATAAGCACTCTGGATATTTCAGAGGATAGTGATACACAGGTGTCACCTTCCACTAAAGATTGTGCAGGATTGAGAAATAAAAGGTAATTTTGCTATGACGAATTCAACTTGAATTTAACTAGTGGAAAAATGATAAAAAGATTCAAAGATTAATTACTTTTAAAGTGTTTTGAAAGTAAATCTTCAGATCCTATTCTGGTTCCGGACAAACAATTTCTCAGCTAACAAAGGAACGTTTAAAAACAATGATTACTAGTAAAATGAATCGTATTCGCTCTGAAAGTAGCAATGTATCACAAGCAACAACATCAACAGTTTGGACAACATCTGCTGCATCAAGCACTACAAATTCGGGTATAAAAATTTTTTTTCTTTTTAATTCTCGTTTTTTTTCTATTTTCAGAGGTTAAATGAATGAATGATTTCTTAACTAACATTATTTTTATTTTACTTCTCACTAACTTTTAACATATCTTTATTGGGTAAAATGAAACATGAATATTGTGGTCATTATCTAGCGCCGGGATTTTGTGGATGTAAAAGAATAGTGCCCAAATGCAATATTTGGAAATGTTATGGTAAGTGAGCTTAAGAAAAAATTTAAAATGGATTATTTCTAAAAATGAATGATTTAATCCATGCATGCATCTTCATCTCATTATTTGGTAACTATTCAATTTTTTGTTTGCTTCCATTTTTTGCTGTCAAAGAAGATTCATTAAATTTTTATTATATATCTTCAATTATATGTGTTACCTATCTATCACTATCTCATGAAATATGATTTATGAAGTAGTAACTAATTTCTTTAATAAAATCTAACCTTAAATTTCGGATCATAAGTGATTAATTTATGTTGGATGTTGTTTCAAGTGATGTAATACTTGCAAAAAAGAAAATTCAGGTAATGTAATATTTGAAAAAATGAATAAATACTTATAGAAAATATTTATCATCATACAGCATCATGGTCAAGTTGCATGGAAAGTCAAAGCTCACAACAAATGCATACTGGTTCAGTGCAAACACCGATTGCACTTTCATCCCTGCATTTTGAACCGTATTACATTCCTTCAACAATGCATGCGGTGCACGGAACATTACAACCATCGGATTATCAATTACGTAAAGTAAGCAGTGAACCAAATTTGAAAATGCGAATTCGTGCAAAACTTCTTAATAAAAGTGCTGGTCCATTGCAGTCACAAAGTAGTGCTTTTGCATTCACACAGCGAACCTCTCAAAGGTATTTTTTCTTTAAAACATACATTTTTTTTTTTAAAGCTTGTTTTATCCCATTATAATTTAGTTTGCTTAATTTAAAAAATGATAAAAAAATTAGATTGTAGTTGAAATATATCCTTACTATTCATTCTTCCTAATCTATTCAAATTTCTGTTTTAATCTTAAAAGATTGTATAAAATTATTAAAAAGAATTAATATTCATATTATCTGTATGAAATATATTTAATTAATTTATAGCGGTGATGCACCAATGGATACTGATCTTGGTGGTAGTACATCATCTGCTGATTCACCTACAACACTATTGGCTGCTTCACCTCATTTAATAATTCCATCGCCATCTTTACCAAATCTTACTTCACCAGCCCAAATACCAATGGATATGTCAGCTTTACTTGCACAAGCTTTATATTCCCCATTTTTTTCAATGCCATCACTTATTGCAAGTAATCCATTGCAACCATCATTCTCAATGGTTGATTCAGGACTTAATTCAAATAATACATTAAGTGGTAAGTTAATATTATCATTTTTTCTTTTTTCTAGTAATACTTTTTTAGTTCTTCTGCTCTGTACTCTTTCTTATATTATTCTGTTTCTTTTTATTTACTTTTTTTAAAACATTTCCTTTTATTTTTTGAGCTAATAAGCTATGTTGTGATTACTTCTTCTCTTTTTATCAGAATATGAAGTTTATATTTTAGAAGGTGCATCACGTAATTTGATGAAATTCGATACTCGAAATCAAAATACACTGTTATCACTCGGTGGTTATCCATCACTGCTGAAACAACAGTTGCGTGATTTGGTACTCAGACGTAAATCTTTAGTTCGTGAAGAACCGGAAGATGATGCAGCGCTTGAGGCGCAACTTTTATCACGCTTACAAAGTGGATCAGTTTTAAGTACACAGTTGAAAACAGGTATTTTGAAAAAGCTAAAAGTTTTACTGTTTATAATTAACAAGTTTTATTGGTATGGAAGACTTATTGTAATTTTAAAAAGTATGTTTTGTTTTTTTTTTTTTTTTTTTAACTTATATTGAGTTATTATAATTTTAAAAAGTGAGATGTTGGCTAGTGCATTATAGAAGTTACATTACATTAGCGATATTCTAAGTTTGGTTTACTAAAGTGAGCAAACTCAGTTCTTCATTTTAGATGATTATAATTTGATTTAAGTGAGTGATTAATACGTAAAAGTGGTAAAGTTTCTCACTTGAATGCTTTAATATCTCAAAAAAATGACAAGAACGCTTTACTTTTGATGTTTAATCCTAATTATTAAAACGTAAGGTGAAAACAGTGTATAGGAATTCTTAATTTAACAGTAGTTTGACTTGTATTTGAGTAATTTAATCTGAATTTAAATCTAATAGAAGTTAAATAACACTCCTAACAACAATTTCCAAGTAGAAAGATTATTTTGCTGAATTATGATATTGTTAATTTTAGGTTTGGTATATGATCCTGCAATGGCAAGGCATCAGTGTTTCTGTGGTAATAACAGGAATCACGTGGAACACGGTGAACGTGTGCAATCAATTTGGTCACGATTACAGGAACGTGGTTTGGTTGAAAAGTGTGAACGAGTATTTGCTCGTAAAGCACCATTGGAAATGTTGAGAACCGTTCATGCTGCAACATATGTTACCTTCTTTGCTGTATCACCAACGGCTTGCCTCAAGGTAACATATTTTATTGAGCATTTTGTTGATCTAAATTCTAAGTAAGATGAAATTAACAAAATTTTATAGTAAGCATACTCTTAATGAGTTCTTTTCTTTTTTTTTGCATTGTCAACTTTACATGTGAAGTTCTATATTCAATTGTGTATGATGACATAATTCAAAAAATATATCTAAACTAGAAGTAATTTCATCCTAAAATAGTATCATTCTAAAATTAAAAGAAAAAAGAGGTATCGTTCTTTATAGATGGAACCATCACAGTTGCCTGTAAAAAGTTTTGTACAACTTTCTTGTGGTGGTATTGGAGTCGATTCGGATACATATTTCAACGATGCTTCAACACAATTAGCAGCACGTATTGCTGTTGGTTCTTTAGCTGAACTAGCACTACAGGTGTTTTTTCTTTAAAAATATTTTAATGCATATATATATTTATGTTTTTAACACTTTATATTCATATATATTCATAATTAAAATAAGTAGATAAGATTAGAAAATTCAATTTTATTTTCATTTCTTAATAGGAGGCCATAAAAGTCGGATTTCTTATTAACATAAAATTCATAAATATATATATTTTTTTCATTTGTCGACATAAATAAAATGTAATTTGTAAATTACTAACTAATACAGGTAGCAGAATCAAGACTACGAAATGGTTTTGCATGCATAAGACCTCCAGGGCATCATGCTGAATATAATCAAGCAATGGGTTTTTGCTTCTTGAATAATGTTGCAATTACAGTCAAATATTTACAGCAGGTATTTAAGAGTAATTCTTTTATTTTTTGTATTATAATTAATATAATAATTTTTATATTAATTTGGCCTTAAAAATTCAAATTTTAGTCACCGTCATACGATCGATGACTTACTACTGGCTTATGAAAGTACTTATTAATGTTGTTTTATATATATATTTATTTATTTATTAATATACGGAGAAGAGTTTTTAAGCGATGTGCTGAACAGTGTTCACGAATAGCAATAATTGATTGGGATGTTCATCATGGCAATGGTACGCAAATTTGCTTTGAAGCTGATCCTTCGGTGCTATATTTATCTCTTCATCGTCATGATAATGGCAATTTTTTTCCGGGTACAGGAGCTGTTACAGAGGTTAGTGACTTTATCATTAAGATTAGTAGGATGAATTTGTTTTGGAATTTCAGTAGAATAATTTTTGCATGGATATTTTGATAGTCATTTCGTTATGTCAGTTTTTTCTTTTTTGGTTTTTTATTATTTTATAGTGAAAAATGAATTTGCAAGCGTACCTACTAAATGTTATTTGTAATAAAGTAGTTATTAATTTTTTTCATACATTTAAATTTTTGTAAAGCTAATTATTTTATAGGTAGGTGTTGGATCGGGTAAAGGTTATACGGTGAATATACCATTTTCGGGTGAAATGATGGATGATGCTGACTATTTAGCGGCATGGCGTGTTATTGTTGCGCCTATATTAAATCAATTTAAACCAACATTTATTATTGTTTCAGCTGGCTTTGATGCCGCATGTGGACATCCTCAGGCTCTTGGAGGGTATAATTTTGAAAAAAATTTTTCAAACATTTTATTTGTTAAAAGAAATGAATCTGTGAAACAACGTTGCTAAATAGTTCTAAATAGAATGTTTCACTATTATGCTAAATACTATTCAAACTATTTTAGTTTCTTTTTGCAGCTATAATTTATCACCACAGCTGTTTGGCTATCTTACGCTCCAGCTTATGAATTACGCTGGTGGACGTGTTGTACTTGCTTTGGAAGGTGGTTACGATCTTGATACTATATCAGATTCAGCTGAAGAATGTGTTAAGGTAGCTTTTCTTTCACCTATTTCGATTTTTAGTTTAAAAAATATTTTGCTCATTCGAATTTAGTATTAAAAAAAAAAAAAAAAAAAAAAAAAAAAAAAACTTCTGGTTCATTTTTCGCTTCCTCTTGGTACATATGTATAATATATTATATATTCTTCTAGTAAGTTTTGGAGAGAGCAGAATTTTTTATTACTGGGATTTTTTTTTTTATTTTCTTTTTCAATTAAAATTCTTAATATTAAAGGCATTATGTGGTGAAAGTCCTGAGACAGCCGGCAAATTAAGTGATGAAGCTTTGAATGCATTTCCTAAACAAAGTGCACAGGAAACAATACAAAAGGTTTAGTAACTTATGAGTTTTATTTTTTTCTTTGTATTTTTACCAAAAGAAATTTTTTTGTTATCATTGTGATAAAACTGATTACTTGTGTATACTTAATATATATTGTACATTGAAACTAGTATGAAAATGTTTTTGCATGCTCTTTTTTGATTCAATATTAGGTGCATCCATTTTCTATTTGCATATTTAAGGTAATCGCTATTCATAAAAAGTATTGGCCATCGCTAACAGCAGCACAGGGCATTAGTAGCAGTGAACTTCAGTGGCAAGCAGTGGCACAAAAATTTGCTTCACTGTCTGTTTGAGTGAAGAAGTGTTTCTTTCGATATGTTGTTCAGGTTTCATTTTTCAAATTTTCAGAAGTATGTTCAATTTTTTTTCTTTTTGTCATCTGTAATGTGACTTTCACTATTTGAATATATTTAGCAAAATCATTTATTTAAAATAAAACTGCAAATCAAACTTAAAGATTGACATGGAAGGAAAAATTCAGGTTTTTGTAGTAATTAAACTGTAACCAAATGCATTCTTGACTTTTCATTAACACTTCTTAGGAATATAGAGGAATTAAAAAAAAAAAATAGGGAACGCATAACCCATGTTCTTCATTTATCAGGACATTTTTTTTTTGTTCAAAAAAATTGCGCTCAAGTCATCAATTAATTTAAGAATTTACAATTTTTCAAAATTTAATTTAAAACTCTATTTATTTTTCTAAAATAAATTATTGCAAATGATAGTTCTAATAGATCTCACTTAAATGAGGGTTATACTGAAAGCCGATATGGCTTAATGGCATTTGATAGCGCTGTTTATCTATCATAAACTTTCTAACTTTTGTCTCATTTTTGTAACAGTTTTTGGTTTTTGTATTGTTGAGATGGATATTTCTGTGCATTTATTTTTCCAGTAAAAAACATCTTTTTTTTCAACTTTTGCCTAAATTTTGCTTCATTATAAATTCGCAATCGAAATTTGTAATTTTTTTTTTTTTTTTTGAAATAACATTTATTATTTGAGGTTAAAGAAATCGAAACTTGTCAGTGATTTGAAAAAAAAGTGTGCATTTTAATGTAATCCCACTTTCTTTGTATATGTTTTCCATCTGATTACAAAACGTTATTTTTGTTATGGTGTTGGTTGCACAACGAATGTTATTAACGAGAAAAGGAGGAAATGTCTTTCACTCCTATTTCGGTAATCATTAATTTTTCGATAATCATTGATCATTAATTGCTATGAAAATAGTAATTGCTATAAAAAAAATTTTTTTTTCTTTTTTAAAAAAAAAAAAATGAGTTAAGCGTTAAAACTAATCGAGAAAAGTGGTATTATAATTGATTGTTTATTTAAATTTGATAGCTAATTTGTAATTTCATTTTTAATGAGATGAGTAGGAAAAAAAAACTGACAAATTTGTGATAACTTTTAGTCTCTTTGTCCACGGATGATAAGCGGGTGTATGTCTATTCACATAACAGTTATAATAATGCATTTATTTGGATACTATTACTTGTTTAAAAATTGCTTTTCTGTTTTATTTCTCACTAATAATATGAATAATATGACTGAATTATAAAAATTTTCATTTGTAATCAATGATAAAAGTAATGCTAAAGTTTCGTATTGATAAGCAATGATGATTTGTTTTCTTAGTTCAATTATGATAGAACATTGGAATTTTTTATTCTCCTTCCATTCCAGAACAAAATGATAATAAATAAAACACTGTATGTTAAAAACAATTTTATAATTGGTCAATAACTGTAACCAAAGAACAAATTTCTACATTCTTTAGTGAAACTTTCTTTACCAAAAAAAAAAAAAGTACTGAATGCAACATTTTTCTTTTTTTTTCCTGATAGAAAGAGCTATTTTAAGTTAAAAGAAACTTTAAAAGCAAGAGTTTGCTTCTTTCTAACTCTTTCAATTCCTATGAAATCTAGAACATAACAAATTTATATCAAAATTATACACTTATCATGCTTCAATCAAAATATATGAAGTTATCAATTATTTTCTATTGTGACATTAAGTGATTATTGTAAATTTATGAATAAGAAGGTATACGGAAGTAGTTGATACAAATTTTTTCCTCTTGATCAATTTTTGATGTTTGTTAAACGAAGCAAAATTTTTTCATTAATGTTTTGCTGTCGAAAAATAAAGATGGAACAAAAAGTAATTATAATTATGTAGAAAATGATAACTGACCCAGAAAAAAAAATTTTTTTAGAATTATTCAACTGCTCCAAATTTAATTTTCAGTTAGAAAATTAGGAAAAGTTGGCATCGACTTTTATGCTTTAAAGATTGTTTTTCTCCGAACTGAAGTGAGAATATAGTAAAAATCATTGATAGATGTGAATGAACAATGAAATATTAGTGACAAGATAGCAATATCAGTTAATGTTAAAGAGAATGAAGCAGTAACTAATGAAATCAGATTATTAACTAAGGTAGTTTGATTAACTATTTAATAATTGCATTGATTATTTAATACCATAACTTATATTTCACTAAATGATAATATCATTCTAATTGACATTTATAATTGACATTTTTATTTAACTTTCTGTTCATAATTCATTTGGGAGCTAATGAATATTTTCATGTAACAATTATATTAATGAAGACAATGATTTAAAATACATTTTGCTATATTAATGAAAGGAATTTTTTAGGATGATTTGAAATACATAGTAATTATATTAGTAACGAAAATGATTTAAAATGCATTATATATATACATATAAATCAGAATGCTTGAAAAACAGAACTGCTTTGAATAAATAATTAATTTACCTACCTAGTAGGCAATTTAATTATATAAAATTTTTCTCCAGCTCATTCATTTACAATGAAATCTTTTAAACTTAAAAGTCAATATTTGAGAGTCTAAAAATCGAAAATGACGAAATACAGTTTTTTGCAGCTGCTCTATCACTGAATCAATGGAAATTATTTTTATATCCAATTTATCAAGCTGATAAGATTGATTGATAGTGATAATAAAGTAATGGTGGTAATTATGGCAAAAAATAATTTAAAGTACTGTGAATTGCAGGTTTTTTTCCTTTTTATAATAAATAAAAGGATAGAAAAGAAATCAGATATTGGTTGATTGCTCAATTATCAATCACATTAATGCAATATAAAATATTCTGTGATAAAATGTAGTTTCGTGATGAAAGAAATCGCATAATCAAAGCTACAGAATTATAATTCATACAAAAAACACGGCGAAAATGACAAAGTTTTAAAGAAATAATGTTTTTATAATTCGAAAAAAGCTTTAAAAAAAAAACGAAATATTCATTAAAGTTTACAAAGCCCAAAAAATGTTAATTACCAAAAAAAAATATGTTTAATAATTGGAATACTTGCTGATTAAGACATCTTGCCGGTAGAAATATATTTTACCCGCAGAAATATTTCATAGATGATTCTATTCTTATATGATTTTTTTAGTTCAATCTATGCGCAACTCCAAACGTTTACTTTTTTTTTCCGATTAATTTTACGATTAATTATATGTTTCGGATGCTGCCAAATTGGTCATTATTTCATTTAATCTAAAAAAGAGTTTATGCTATGAAACATCGACTAAAAATGATTGAGAAAAAAACTTATCTGAAAATTTAAAATTTTAAAGAATTTTTATTTTGAAAAGCAATTATTTACTCAAAATTTTTTATCAATATTATGAGAAATAAGCAAAAGACGTTAGAAAAATTGAAATAATTTTACTAAATTAATATATTGTTGTAATTACGAAATTTTTTTAAGTCAAAAAATGAGGATATAAATTATTGAGTAGAAGATAATAAATGATGAATTGAACTTGAAAAGCTATCAATAAAATAATTAATCTTTGTTTATCCAAATTAAACAATGACAATTGTTTTGTGATAATTTTGAAATTCTTTCAATCAAATGACAATGATTTATTTGTAATAGTTTAAAATACTGCGAACATCTTCCGATCAAATTGCAAAATTTGTTTATAATTATAAATTATCGCAAACAATTGCACCGCCTAAAGGAAGAACATTTTGATAATTATTATTATTATCAGTAACACTAACTTTCACTCTTCCTCTCTCCATCTCCCTCTCTCTCTCTCTCTCTCTCTCCCTCTCTCTCTCTTTCTTTGTCTCTTGATTAACAACAATTATTTGTTGCAGTCATTTAATAACAATTTTAATTGACCCAAATCCAATTCATTTGCGGAACTACAAAAAGACAATGAACTTACTCACTAATTATCTAACAAGGATATTCTTTAATTTTGCTCAATAAATAAATCTTTCTTTATTTTTTCATTTTAAATATCAAAAAATTTTCAAATTCAATGAAAAAAAAGTTTTCAATGAAAATTTTTGTTTAAACAAAAAAAAAAAAAAAAGAATTCCATTATAAAACATTTTATGTTTTACTAAATTTTTCTTTGCAATCATTGAGCAAACATTTTTTTTACTTGTCTTTTTTTAATTTCTTTTTTAAAAATTAAATTATATCTGGCAAAATTCTGCAATATTCATTGGGAATTTTCTAAAAATTATTCCTCAACATTGGATAATTAAAAAATTTTTCCCAAAATTCATGTTATAGTGCTACTGTAATATTTATAATTAAATTTATGTAAAATCTTTGAATTATAATTTGAAAAAAATATATTGCTGATAAAATACGAGCAAATTATTACTAATATTATTATTATTATTATTATTATTATTATTATTATTATTATTATTATACATTTATGCTATTAATAGCATATTTTTTATAGCTTATATTGTAAAACTTTTTCATATTGAAATCATACAACAACGCTTATTTATAAAACTTTATGAGAAATCTAAAAGAAAAGAAAAAATAAAAAATAAAATACAAATAAATAAATAAATGCTTTTTAAAAAATATTCTTAAAATATGAATATCATTTGTTTACATTTTTCCTTTAATACATATTTTCTTATTGATATAACACAAGAAATTATTCATTTTGCTTTAAAATGTTTCCTTTTAACATTTAGCTTCAAAATAACTTTCAACATTCATTGTCCTGATATTATTAATTTTAAAAATTTTCTTATCAAAAATTATAACAAATTACTATTCATATTATTTGTATCTTATCAGCAATTGATTTCAGTTTTAATACTATTTCGAAAAATTAAAACAATTTCCATTATTTTACATGTGATTAATCAGATACAAATGAATTTATATTAATATAATCTAGCATTAAAGTTTATTAATAGTTGTACAATATTCTAAATGTTGTAATTTGAAATTATTT